TTCAACCCAAATATTCAGATGTGTGCAGCACATTTTATGGAGGACTGTTTCCTGATCCTGGGAGAGTAGACTACAATGCCGTCTGTTTTGACTCACAGACTGTAAGTACGTTTTTTTATATTTAAAGAGTTTTTATATTTAAAGTGAGTTTTTGGGCAGTAGAGTAGCACTTGTTGTTTGTCATTCCTCCGATCACAAATGCAGAGATGGTTTTATGTTTACACGGTGCGATGCAACGCAACGCGTAAAAAGACAGTATAAGTCATTATAATCCATAATTATGTCCCCACTGGATGCAACGAATGCCTCGTTTATAATGGCTTTTCATGTTTTTGTCTCGTCGTTCCGGCCGGACAGGGCATCATCACAATATGGCAAGGGGCATAACATTTCCATCACACGCTTGAGGTGTTCGGCCAATCATAACGCACTGGATAGCTGGCCAATCACAGCACACCTCGCTTTTCAGACCGATGAGCTTTGTAAAAATCGACGCGTTTCAGAAAGGCGGGGCATAGAGGAGAAACAATAATGTACAGTATGTGGAAAAGAATGTGTTTTTTAACCTTAAACCGCATAAACACATTTCATTACACCCAATACACAAAATAATGTTAGTTTTAGCAACATCATATGACCCCTTCAAGACATCAAAGGCACATTTACAGTACAAAGATAACATTGATGTACAACTTTTTAACCACAAGGAAGCATACTGCTAATTTAATTGCGTCTCAAATGGCAAGACAAACTCAAGCTGCTCAGAGATAAAGAAAATGAGACAGCTCTTTTCACAGACAGTATAACTCACCCTGACACGACTGCTGGAGAACATCGTGACAACCTTGAGCGACTGACTTTCTCACAAGAGGACAAAACAGAATATGACATATCTTTAGAATGGATTCTGAACAGATATAACTGCAGTCCTATGAGCTAAATTTAAATACATTAAATTGTCATAGGCCTGATGAATAATGTTAACCTTTCAGTATATAATTAATAATCATTGCATGTTCACTCGTAAAATGTTTGTTTACTTTTCTTATTCTGGTTATATAACGCTCTTTTTTAACATTTATCATATTTATCCTAAAAGAAAACACAATATATTTACAATTTAATTCTGTATTAAGTAATTACAAATTAATTCTGTAATAATATATTTGTTTTATTATTATTATTATATTTTGTTTTATTTAATTACATTTTATTTACATCTATTTAATTAATTTATGTATTTTATTTGTAACTTACATAATACTCTTTTAAGATATTCAACCTCAAAAATCAATATACTTATAATAAATTATTTAATTATGTAATACTATTTATTATAATATTTAATCATATGAATTATATAATACTATTTTCTGCAATCATTATATATGTATTATTATTATTATTTGTGACATCTGCATAATAGGCCTAAATCATGTCTACATGGGCAGACCATAAAACATTTATAAATACATTTTAAATATATAATAAAAAATATAAAGAGTCATCCTCCATCTCATTTGTATATACATTCACATACTGTATTCTACATAAGTGAGTCATATTCATTTGCTAAATAATTGTATGGGCATTAAGTTGTCAGAAATCCTTTACAGTAAGTAGTATTAGTATGTTTATCCTGCTTAATAGTACAAGAAGTTGAGCTTTTCAAGTGATATTGATTATAGTTCTGAAGTCAAGATGAACTGAAGCATACCAGAACATTTACATTGTTCAGAATATATATTGGTTTTATTAATTATTTTCAAACCTTCGCTCTATTCTAATGCACACTTGAAGTGTTAAACTTGTAAAAGCGTAGTAGCAAAGGTCAAATCTTTATTGTCAGTTCAGCCTCAGTCTTGTGCAGAGAGCTTGTGCATGATCTACGCTGCTAAAATATTCCATTCACTTCTTCTCATTATAGACTTTGTCATCTGAAAGACAGAAAACCCTCTACAGGAGTGAACTTTTCATCTCTCAAGGACTAATCTTTGAACGGCACATGTGTGCATCTGCAATCTAATTTATCACTGCCTACCTGAAAGTGTCTAAAGACTTATGATCATGGAAGAGCACAGGTGTGACACACTGGCTCTCTGCTGGAGGGCAAGAGCGCTTGGAATTAAATGCAGCGCTATATGATACACCGCTCAGCTGCATCTGAAAACACCCTGGTCTGTTTTCAATTTAACTTGTTCACTGTTGGTACATTTAACTTAGGACAATATTTTAAGGGTCACTTCATGCATTTTGATCGATTGGATTGCTGGGTGTGCGCATTTCACACTTGGCCCCATAAATGCATCTCCGTAAAATGGATCTGATCTAGTATTCCCATGCTTCAGCTCGCTCATTTTCGGAATGCAGAGCTTCCAAACTTCTGCATCCTGATGTTTCTTTGGAAGGAGCAAAGTTTATGTGGTGTAACCGTAAGTTTACAATCTTTAATCTCTATAGAAAAAATAGCTAAGCAAAAATTAAAGTTATCATTTAAAAGAACAGCATGTTACACTGTAAGTTACATGGAGAAAGCTTTGAATGGCTTGCTACTACTGCCTGAAAGATTCAAACTGAATGACATGTCAATTCAGGCCATTTGGTTAATTTGCTTGAGTAATCAGTTAAAAAGAATGATTCCTTTCCAAATTAGACATCGCTGTTTTTGATCATAAACAGCTGACAAATGTCCTACTTCTGAACACATTACTGTAAATCACACATCACTTTCACCAAAAGACATCAACGATTTAACGAGAACATCTTGTGTTTTAATGTCAATTATGGAAAAAAACTAAAGTCATGAACACAAAATTCTTGCATTTGCATTAAAAATGTTTTTAATGTGAACGCGAGTATCTGTAGGGCCTTTCGCACCACTTTAGTTCCAGAACTAAATGTACAGTACTAAAGTACTGGCACGATTTTCGCGTGAACTATTTCCCAGTTCCATTTAAAGGGTTGCATTCGCACCAACAGTGTGTACTAGGAAATGACATAAGCCGGTCGACAGCGACGTCATTTGTGCGCGGCGTTCAACAACGGAAACAAAGA